AATAGACCAACAGGAACCTTTTTTTTCTTGTCAATACTATCATTCGATTGGTTAAAATACAGCCACTCCATCCCGCGTATTCCAACTTATCAGGCTGTCTACGAAATGCTTCTAGGAGCTGACATAGGAGTGGTACTATGGCTGCCCCGAACGCACCGTATCACGCCTCTGGCTTCGGGCGCAGCTCTCCCTGCGGCATGGTTGCCTCTCCGCTTATGTCCGCACGAAATTGCGTGGTAAACCTCCAAAAAGCTATAAATATATCAATTTTACCAATTATATATTTATCAAGTTTAATGTGTTAAGGAAATACTAGACGACGGCAAAAGCGAAAAGCGCGATTCGAGCAGTCTCGTTGATGTCGCGGCAGATTCGTCGTTCGCTTTTGGCTGCATGTGAGAACCCAATGCCTTCCATTATTCGCCATAAGAAGAAGACCCCAAGATTCAAGGCCATGTCTAACTACGTCAAACCATATCTCACGCCAGCGAACATCGAAGCTCGTCTGAGGTACGCAATGTCCTGCGTTCGACCTTTGTCAAATAGTACCACTGTTTCTCCAACATGCTCGATTTCGTGCATGTTGATGAAAAGTGCTTCTACTTGACGGTCAAACGTCGGTACTATGTGTACGATGACGAAGAGGTGGCTGCGCGCTCCGTCCAAGCACTACATAACCAAGGTTATGTTTCTTGCCGCCGTGGCCAGTCCCCGCTACGACCATCACTCCAAGACATTTTGGGACAGCAAGGCTTGTGTGTGGCCCTTCGTTCAAGTGTCGCCGGCGTTGCGTGGAAGCAAGAACCGCCCCAAGGGCACCCTCGTCACTGTTCCTCAAGCCGTGGGCAGCACTGTGTATTTTGACGCCGTTCTGAACAAGGTCGTCCCTGCCAATATGGCCAAGTTTCCTGGCGTTTTGCGGCACGGTGCCGTGTTCCTCCAACAAGACAATGCCAACCCGCACCGTTGCGTTATGACAGAGCTGCTTCAAACCAAGTGTGTGCGTGAGATTGTTGTAGCAAACCAGCCTCCCAATAGTCCAGACTTCAATGTCTTCGATTTAGGTTTTCTTAATTCTATTCAAAGTATTCAGCACCAAAAGGCAACCTTTAGATTATTGCTGCTGTTGAAAGTGCGCTTTATGAGTTAACAGCAGATACAGTTGAAAAGACATTCATAACACTTAAAAGTTTTGGAAATGTCCATTGAAATGCATGGAAGCAATGATTACAAACTTCCTCATATGAGAAAGGATTCTTCAATTGCTGTCTCTGCATCGTACAATGCTGAGTTCGCCTCATCTTGTTACGAGAGTGCGTTAAATTATTTGCATGAGCGTCTGGGCGAGGAGTCCACCATGGAAGCGTCAGTGAGTTCTCTTGATTGAGTAGTCGGCATGCACTTTAAAAAATACATTAAATTTTGTGCCTTGAATATGTTGTCTTGAAGTTGCATACAAAAATTAAGTTGCTCGAAAGCCACAGCACATACTTTAATCAAATGAAAAATTACCTGACAAACGTTTCGGATCAGAGTATGGTGTACGTCATCTATAAACTACCAACTTTTCACAAAGTACGTCATCTATAAACTACCAACTTTTCACAAAGTTTTCTGACTTCTATTTCATATTCATTACTCAAAATTTCAGCAAATTGAGACGTAAAATCGACAGATCTCAATGTGGTGAAGAAATTCTACGTCTCAGATTTAAGTTTGGTAATTAATTGGTCCAGAAATAGTAATTAACCTAGCGGTATTTACATGGGCGCTTGGATATTTGGCCATAGGGGTGGTCGCTGATATGTATATTGATATTTGTATGTGAATCTTATCCGTATATAAAATTCGGAGGCAGTTGGGACCTTTAACCTCCGACTCCAGTGATAAAACGTATGAAATCGGTATTTAACGTATTTGGTTTTGGGTTTAACTACAATAATTGTACGTTAAATAATAAAACCTCCACTCTTCGATTTGTCCAGTTGGAAGTTTTTAGATGATATGCACCATAGTATGTGATATTTCAGGTTTGTGGAGTGTCTGGCTGCACACTGATTGGACAAAACCCAGGAGTTAAAGTTGCGTTGAAAATAATACTTCCCCTGTTTCATGTTACTGCCATGTTACTGCCACCATTGGAAAATCAACTTTTTTTCAATGTTATTGCCACCATTTTATAATGATTGGCTAATCAAAATATGATTGCATTTTACTGGTTATGCAGTACTAGTAATTGGCTCAGCATCAATCAAGGACTGTTGGAGCGAGGTATTTGCCCCCATGTATATGCACATCCTAGTACTGTACATGTATGTATGTATATATTCACCATGTATATGCATGCACATACACGTATTTATTTACAGTTTCCCACGACTATGCATATACATGTATTTATTTCTTCCCCATGAATATGCATATACTAGGCCTCAAAACCAGTGACTGAGTGAATAGCGATAGTCGATGCAATTTCGAATTTCGCTGAACGCTATCCAAGAATATGTCGTCCTTAGTCAGTCACACAGGGATTGGTAAAAAAACAGGCGTTTAAACTAATAATCCACCAATTGAATATTGATGCTGTGATCGAGTGTACAGTTTGTGAACTATTATATACTGACTACGCTATTAAAAAACAAAGTCATTTCGGAAATCACTAGATATCATCACAAGGTCATCAAGCACAACAGGAAAGTAGGGACGAATCATCAAAAGAATCGCAAAAAATGATAATTCCCAAAAACAAATAAGTCTACAAAATAAATACAGGAAACATTGCCGCCAAACAATCAAATCTTGTAAGCGGGAAAACGCTGTATGGCCATCCTCACACCATTCATTTTCAATTTTTCGCTACCCTACGACAACAATGTATTTCACCAAGACATGCTGACGAAGGTCGGCGATGAAACAACCATGCGTGACAACGGGAGTTTGCGGAACGAGTACCCAAACTCATAAACTCATGGGCTTTGCTGGCTGACAAGGGTTATCAAGGCCTCTACTGCCATATGCGTGCAATCACCCCTGCGAAGCGCCCTGCCGGTGGTTTATTGCCGGTGTCAGAAATGCCTGCCAATGACAGGATTGCCGGCGATCGTGTTGTCGTTGAAATTTTTTTCGGGCGATTGAAGACCTTTGGACCATCATGAGCGACTCGTACTCTTGGAAGCGTGATCATTATGATTCTTTTTTCAAACTTGCGTTGCGTTAACGAATGTTCACATTCCTTTTTTGCCGTTGCGTGATTTAGATGGGGAAGATTTCACGCGCTACGAGAATCGACTGCTCTCGCTGGGTGACAGAATCAAGTCCAAACGTGCTGGCTCGATGGCTAAGTATCGTGAGAAGCGCAAACATCGTACGAGCATGATTTTGCCCCCTGGAAATTCCGAAGCGGACAGTTGCTCAGATGAAAATGGCATTTTTAATTAGACAATACATTTTGTTTTTCTAATTGGAAATTACATCATATTATATTATTTTCTCAGACACTGGTGTATGCAGCACATACTTTCCAAATCACTTAATGCAAGCGAAGTCACTGGGTATATTTCGAAATGACTCAGTGATTTACAGTTAGTAGTATTGTTAATTTATTCGCTAAAACTCAGTTATTTATATTTTGACGTGATTATTTTGGAATATGATACAGCTCTGGTCAAAAATAACGGCTTTGGTCTAGAGGTCTACTGTACATGTATTTATTTATTCCCCATGAATATAGATATACTTTATCTACTACAGTATGCATGCATTCACCACGTATATTTCTCTCATATATATATAAAAAAACATGTCATATATATATATAAATAGTCATGTCATATATATATATAAATATTCATATTTGATAAATATTCATGTCATATATATATATATATATTCATGTTTGATAAATATTCATGTCATATATATATATATTCATATTTGATAAATATTCATGTCATATATATATTCATATTTCATAAATATTCATGTCATATATATTTGACCGGCAAGCACCTTCCTGAGTACTTTGATTGGTGTATCGGTGAAGCAGGACCCATTGGGCTGGCCACGGCCGTGACTACGTCATACTATAGTGTACACGATGGTGTTGTGTGCTACCTTGACGTAGACGCAATATGCAAGGAGTTCTGCTTTGTTGTCGTCGGCTAGCAGAGGCTTCATGCGAGTGGTACGGCGTTGAATGGTTCCTGTTTAAGGGCCCAGTGGAGAATGGTTCAATATCTCGACAAAGAGTCCCCGGAAGTTATACCTTGTTGGTGACAAGGTCATCAAGATGCGCGCGTGCAAGTCCAAGCGGTTCATGTCCATAGTCCGTGTTTCTCAGTGCAGTGGCATGTCCACGCGAAGCTATTGGATTCCACGGGAAGGTTGCCATGTGGTCATTTATGTTGCAAGTCGCTGCTGGCAGGAGCTCCCGCAATCGTCCTATAGCACGCTAATCACTTACTACCCTCATCAATGTTTACGCTGCCATGTACGGTGAAGAGCGACCAAACATGGGCAATACTGAAGCCGCGATCGTTAAAGCTAGCTGCTCAAAACGGGCAGCTTCCAGCGCACACTAGTTGCCTCCTTTGAATTCAATCAAATGTCCACGTCCTCATAGGATTCCAAGTGGCGGTGGACGCTGGGGGCGACTTTGGCCGTGGCGAGTGCAGCAAATGCCGCGATGTAAGCAGGCTTGACCATGATGCAGTTCCTGGCAAATTGAAATGTGAGAAGGGTGTCGTGACCCCAATAAGGAAACAAAAATAGATTGTATGAATTGTTAGACAGTCTGTTATTGTGAATTCGTATGGCATTTCTTGCATGTGATCATCGGATTTCAGGCTGGGATTATTCGCTCCTGTACACATGCATGTTGCCGTTGATTTAGTAGCTCTCGACACGGGTCGTCAAGGCTTTGGGCTGCGACGACAGAAGCTCTATCGCAGCGGGCTGGGGCGTCTCCATGTTGCTCTCCAAGAGGAAGCGCACATGGGCGATGCTCGAGCCGCGATCGTTAAAGTTAGCCCGTTCACGACGAGCATCTTTCAGGGCGCGCTGGCTGCCTCCTTTGAATTCAATCAATGTTCTGCAGCGTGCAGAGCAATTGGGTCGTGCGTTAGTTTGACCCATTGCAAACACACACACACTGTGTGTGTAGCGTGTCAAAGGTTTCGATACCTTAGTGGATGTAATGAGTACTTTAGTGAATGGTAGTCAGTAGGCGCCTCGTGGCGTGTTTACACACTAATACCAGTGTGTATATTTGCTGCCTTCACGAAGGTCCCGTGGCCGAAAGCCAAGAAGATGCAGGAGACAAAACAAAGATATCTTTAGTTCATTGTTGAGCTATTCACTGGAGATGGTACGACGAACATTCCTCCGACGAGGAAACGCCAACGAACGCCGAAGAACGATCGCGTGACCGGATCGAGGAGCCGCGAGGACGCGCCGCTCGGCGCACCGTTGAGAACCCGTTCAGATCTCCCCGACGACGACAGCCACCTGCTGTCGACGAGTGGCAACCGCCACGTGGTGGGTTTTACACCCCCGCCACAACCCGAGGAAAACCAGCTGTCGCAGCGTTTGTCTCAGCTGCTGCTCGACCAACGACTGAAGCAGATGGCGCTTTAGTGCCGTTGCCAGCCGACAACGACCCGTCGGACGTCGGTGAAGATACGGACATGGGCAGCGATGGCGGTTACGGCCGTACGGCGCCGCAAGTCTGGAACGCGCCGGCGCTCCCACAGCCGCCGACATTTTCGGGCTCGACCAAGGCCGAAAGACGCGCTTTTATGCGCAAGTACCAGGAGTATCTGGGGCAGATCAACGCTCTGCAGTGCAATGGATCGCGTCCGTTCGCGATGCCCGTGAGTGCCTGCAAGGACCCGTTCTCGAAGCGCCGGGTCGCGCTGTTTGACTTCAACCGCGACCACCATTCCATCACGAACGATGTGTGGGTCACGTTGTTCAAGTCAGCGTTTGAGGAAGACCCTCAAGACCTGGACGTTTTGAAGCAACGTCTGCAGCGAGCGATTCGCTTCGATACGAAGATCTTGGACGCGGAGGCCCGCGTCGGTCGTATTCTTGACGAGCTGATGCGCTCGTTGGAAGAAGACCGTCAGGAGTGGGTACTCCATCAAGAAGGCA